AAAAAATTTGTTTCTGATAAGGTCGAAAACAAAATCAAATCATGTTTATTTTCAAAATAAAATATAAAAATTATAATTTTCACATTAAACATTTTTAAGAAAAAATCCAGATAAATTTAAATTTTAAAAGTTTCCATATTTTTTGCATCAGCTGTTTACAATTTTGCATTTCCGGCTCAAGTCCGTTTTTATGTGTTAAGGTATGGAAAAATTTACAAAATCACTGAATAGTTCCTATTATTAAAATTTGTTATTAAATTTTTATTTTTCAGCTTTCTAAAACATATGGTTTTTGTTTACGCATTTAAAGTAATGATGCATACTTTCAAACAATAAAAGCGACAAACTTTCCAAATCGCGACATAGACTACATTTGTTGCGCATAAAATTTTTTGCAAATATGAACAGAGTACTTAGCTTTATGAACCACAATGCAAAATTATGAAAATCAAATACACGAATATTTTTCTAATTGGGTAGTGCTGCCAAGTTAAACAAAATAAACATAATAGCTAAAGTATATTTATTAATTGTTTATAAGTACCACAATTGTATATTTGGTTTTAAATCTAAAAAATAATTTTTTTACGAATACAACCTTAACAAGTCGGTAAAATTAATCGGAATTCGGGTCTATGATTAATCCGCCAAACAGTCTACAAGCACGTTTATTAAAGTTATTTTTTTTAATTTTCAAATTTAATTGAAAATAGTTTTTGAAATTACTATAACTTGATGTTCTGATAAACGTTCCTTAAGTCATTGAAACTTGAAAAGGTTTGGTCAGCCCTGTGCCAGCGAATAAAATGTTAAATACTAACGCTTCACAGTGGTATAGGAAAAAAAAAAGAGGGAAATAATTCGGTAACTTCTAAACGGTTAATCCGATTTTAATGAAATTTGGTATGCACAAAGAGGAGGTGTTGTCGAGTTTAGGTTTTGAATTTGGACCTTATAGGCCAACCAGGGGCCCGGCGGGGGGTCCTCAAATTAGGACACCTCGGCTATGTTAAATTTTTAAAACGATCCTATTTCTTCATTTGTGTTCCGATTTAAAAAAAATTTCGTATATAGAATCTCCTCATCGAGCACTATAAAAAATGTCGTCGTAGCAGTAAATTATCTCTTATAGTTTAGGAGATATTCGCATTTGAATATTAAAATTTTAAAATTTTTACCGTCCTTACTTTAGTTTTTTTGATAATAGCAGGTCCAAATATTTCCGATTTTCGCCATTTTTTTTTATTTGCTTAACAACAAGTTTATATACCAAGCAGTGAAAGAATTATGTAAAAATCATGACTGAGTCCAAAGTTATAGGCATTTAAATTTAAAAAATTAAAAAAAAGGCGATTTTTTGTCATTTTTTTGGGAAAAAAGTATCTTTTTCTTTTTAAGTTATCTAAAAAGTTTCTAAGAAGATGTATATAGAATTTATACTTTTTGGAAATCTGACTTTACATAAAATACGATAAATGAAACAAAACCTAAAAATTTTTGATACCGAGGGGACCAGGTCCATCCAAAAAAACCCTATTTTTTATGGAAAATTAAATTTTGAGCAAAAATTCTCAAATCGCATAGTCGATATCAAATTATAGTGACCTGTTTTATATGACCCAATAAGTTCTTAATCATTTTGTAACGGGTTTCGATAACCCCGCCCCTGGTATGGATATAATAGGCAAAAAACCAAAAAATCCCATTTTTGGGATTTTTTAAAACTTTTTTGGGAATTCCGGGATTTCTAATAAGAAAATTCGAAATTTTTATTTAATTTTGGATTTTGAGTAAAAAAATCTACCTAACTGTAAAATTTCATCAAAAAATATTCATAAATAAAATTTTTATTGCAATTTGAAAAATTTGTATCTTCGCAAAAACTGAATAAAAAACATTTTTTAATTTTTTTAAAAAAAGTATTCCGCGAATTTTTTAATTTTCAAAAATTATATACAGTTTTGAAAAATAGACAAAATTACCTTTCCATTGATATATAACATGCCTACCTAATGTTTTTTAAGTGACAAATTAATTAGGGAAAACTCAACATCTTTTAGAAAATTTACCTAGCACTATTATTTTCATCCATATATGTAACAAATTTAAGAGTTAACCTTATGGATGAAAATAATAGTGCTAGGCAAATTTTCTAAAAGATGTTGAGTTTTCCCTAATTAATTTGTCACTTAAAAACATTAGGTAGGCATGTTATATATCAATGGAAAGGTAATTTTGTCTATTTTTCAAAACTGTATATAATTTTTGAAAATTAAAAAATTCGCGGAATACTTTTTTTAAAAAAAATTAAAAAAAGTTTTTTATTCAGTTTTTGCGAAGATACAAATTTTTCTAATTGCAATAAAAATTTTATTTATGAATATTTTTTGATGAAATTTTACAGTTAGGTAGATTTTTTTACTTAAAATCCAAAATTAAATCAAAATTTCGAATTTTCTTATTAGAAATCCCGGAATTCCCAAAAAAGTTTTAAAAAATCCCAAAAATGGGATTTTTTAGTTTTTTGCCTATTATATCCATACCAGGGGCGGGGTTATCGAAACCCGTTACAAAATGATTAAGAACATATTGGGTCATATAAAACAGGTCACTATAATTTGATATCGACTATGCGATTTGAGAATTTTTGCTCAAAATTTAATTTTCCATAAAAAATAGGGTTTTTTTGGATGGACCTGGTCCCCTCGGTATCAAAAATTTTTAGGTTTTGTTTCATTTATCGTATTTTATGTAAAGTCAGCTTTCCAAAAAGTATAAATTCTATATACATCTTCTTAGAAACTTTTTAGATAACTTAAAAAGAAAAAGATACTTTTTTCCCAAAAAAATGACAAAAAATCGCCTTTTTTTAATTTTTTAAATTTAAATGCCTATAACTTTGGACTCAGTCATGATTTTTACATAATTCTTTCACTGCTTGGTATATAAACTTGTTGTTAAGCAAATAAAAAAAAATGGCGAAAATCGGAAATATTTGGACCTGCTATTATCAAAAAAACTAAAGTAAGGACGGTAAAAATTTTAAAATTTTAATATTCAAATGCGAATATCTCCTAAACTATAAGAGATAATTTACTGCTACGACGACATTTTTTATAGTGCTCGATGAGGAGATTCTATATACGAAATTTTTTTTAAATCGGAACTCAAATGAAGAGATTCCGAGGTGTCCTAATTTGAGGACCCCCCGCCGGGCCCCTGGTTGGCCTATAAGGTCCAAATTCAAAACCTAAACTCGACAACACCTCCTCTTTGTGCATACCAAATTTCATTAAAATCGGATTAACCGTTTAGAAGTTACCGAATTATTTCCCTCTTTTTTTTTTCCTATACCACTGTGCGCTTGTATTTATAAAAAAAATCTTATTTTGCTTTTAATGCACTCAATAGTTAAAGCACACTTTAGCCTTAAAAACCATTAATAAAATTGTGATATTCATAAACAAATAATAAACGTATATTAACTATTGTGCTGATTTATGTTTAAGTTGGCAGCACTGTACAATATGGCTGTCATTTTATGTGTTAGTGTTGCGTACAATTAGGATAAAATATTCGTTGATTCGGTTTTCTTAATTTCATATTTTTGTTTATAATAGATTTTTGACAATAAAAACAAACTTTTAAGAAAAATAAATATATATATGGCTTTAATAAATGTCTATTTAGTTCAGATGTATAAATATAACATATAATTTCTAATTATTATTAAAAGTATCCGAATAACGGATATTTTGCGACAAAATATACATCACTATGACACATTTTCTTATTTTTACTTATTTTCCTTGTAATTTTTGATAAATTTTTGCAAATATTGATAAATTTCTTTGATATTTGACTAATTTTAATGCCGGCGAATATATTTTGCATTAGTATAACACTAATCAATATAATTTACATGGTTAATTACTTTATGGCATTATATTTAACCAACAAACTTTGAAAAAGCCAAATCAAATGATTTTGTCCATCATTTGGTTGACAGACGGGCATTTCCAAATTGCCTAAAAATAGTGCTGGACAATTGGAATATTGTCAAATATTCATGCATTAATCCAATAATGCCTAGATTTGAGTTTTTTCCTCAAAATATAATCGTTTAAAAATTTTCTGGGCTTTTATTTACAAATGTGTAAACGTTAAAATTAGAATTTTTAGATTTTATTTTAAAAGAAACCATAATTACTTTTCGCAATCAACCTAAAATTACCGGAAAAATCTTTATCTGAGAAAAAAATTGTTAAAAATCAAGTTATTGTTGGCTTAAAGAAGGGTCGAGCCTACAATAAAATTCTTCTAATTGTCAATGGTTTATTGAAGGTGTTTTAAGCTATTTCACGTTTATAAATACGATTTTCCTGAATTTTGCCTAAAATTGTTTAATAAACCTAAAATAAGTTTTTATAAATACAGCCGTAAATCATGGCGGTGCGGATATTCCGACTTGTCACATTTTTCCCGCGCACTAATTTAAATTCTAAAAACAATATACGCCCTTATATTTGTATGTACATATACATATGTATGTAATATTTTTTTAAAACGAAATTAATTTTTTTGTGTGATAAAAACATATAAGTAGTATTTTAAGTACTTTTAATATTCACACATTAAGTAAAATTTATCATAAAATAAATTACTTGCTAGAAAAACAGCATTTAGATTTCATTATCTGAAAGCGATTGAAGACAGTTCTCAACAAATCCGTTGAATATGAATATTTTAAAATGTTACCCTTTTATTAATTTGAAAATCATATTTATGAAAAATTTAATAAATACAGATGATGTTTTTATATGAATTTAAATAACTCGTAAATCACTTAAAGATTTACAAGAATGACATAATACATATATGTATATACAAATATTCTTGGTGAAACGTCTAATGTCTATACAAAATATACATGTTTGTGTGTTAAAACAAATAAAGCAAACTTATATATAAAATGTTTATGAATTTATTATTAAACTCACCACAACTTCGGATGTTGATTCCATTATGTACAAATATATATATACAAGTTACTTATTTTCGAATACACAAACAAAAACTGAAAAAGATGAACAAAATTTAAGTATATTTTAATAAAAAAATAATTGATATTATAAGTATTTGCACTTGCTTACATTTCCACTTTTCAAACAAATTAGAAAATAAATATTAACATTCTATAATTGATAACACCGTTTTCAAACATGAAAAAATCTATATGTATGTACAAGAAACTGCGAACCATTTGCATTAACTCTGTGTACTTAGTTTTTCATAATCAGTTTTTATGCCCCTGTAAAAGGACCTTAAAGTTTAAAGGACATACTATTTCAAAAGAAGAAATTACAAATTTATATGAAAGAATTGATAATAATAATAAATTAAGCTCAGAATCTCGGCATCAGAATAATATTATTTATTTGAATTCATCGGGATTAAAAAAGAAATGGAAAGAAAGAAAATTTGTCACAAAAAAGAAGTTAAAAATGTTTCTTTTGAAAATGAAATTTTTTTAATTTAATTTCTTTTTAGATTTATTGTCTAAGTGAGTTAAATGATATAGATATAATGCACAGATTCCCAGCAATATTAACATCGTACAGTACATATACATAAATATATAATACATTCGTTTGAAATTGTGAGTCTGCAGTATGCAGAATTGCTATAAATGGACTCCAGTTTCCCATGCATATCAATTTTTATATAAAAGTGAATTTATGAATATTTGTTGGAAATTAAAGAAGGATAATCAGCCGATATTCCATAAAATAGAAAATATGAAAACTTTGTAAGGATTATTTGAGAATACCCATTAGTTAGTACAAATGAACAGGATCGGAGCACGATATTTCCCATAATAAATCATAACCAATATCAACAAATATGGATATCTGTTAAGGTATTTTCAGACTACAATACTGAGTATTAACACACTTCAAATTAAAAATATTATGAAAATAATTCGCATTTTCAAAAAATCAATCCGAAAAATACATTTTATGTTTACACTATAATATTTGTAATATTTTTTATCCAATTTTCAATTATTTATGCACTTTTCGTTCTTATTTTTAATGTATTTTACACTTTTTGTTTGTTTTTTATTGTATTTATAAAATACATACCAAATACGTTTAAAAATAAAAAGTTTTTGAATTGTTTTAAAAAATTTATGAATACCGACCGTATGCCAAAAAAATCAGTAATATTTTTGAAAATCAAATTACAAATTATATTTAGACTAGTAAATTGTATTATGATACAAACATTTTTGACAAGTATTAATACTCAGTATTGTAGTCTGAAAATACCTTTAAAAATATTAGTTATTTTATTATTTTACTACATCATAGATATGCCACTCTTATAAACATATAGTCATTTTAAAATTTGTTAACATTTAAATACATATTTTTTCAATTGCAGTTTATTTAATTTGTTGGTCAATAAACATGTACCTTCTACATAAAAAAATTAATTAAGATAAAAATATTAAACAATTGGCGCCAAATATATTACATATATACATTCATATAAGTATCCACATACGTACACGTCTACATATTTAACAATATTTAGTTATTAAAGAAAAACAAATTAAAAACTTCAATTATGTGTGAAGCGTCGGGAATTGATAAAATCAAAAACATTAGGATTCTTACTAATGCTTTGAAAATTTTCAAGTCAATTTTTTTTATTTTAGAAGTAATCGGACTATAATTATTTTCATAGATCACTAATAGTATTTTTTGTATCTGTTGTGTGATTCCTAAGCCAAAGTCAATCAGGAAGAAAAATGCTTTAAATCAGTTGAAAATTAAGTCAAGTATATATTGGTCCTAGTAAGCAACTAATTGTTCCCTTTTAATATTTGCACTTGTACATTGCCTTTTTTGTTCCTTTTGACGCAATAATTGTGTGTACATTAAGATTCTGTAACATTCAAATACAAAAAACATATTTAAATTCAAAGAGGACTAACAACCTAACTGATTATATTAAATATTAAAAATGTTTACAAAAATTATTTCGGTATGACATCACGAAGATGTTATGTTTATAAGTTCGAAATGGGAAAAAATCTAAACAAACAAATAAAATCCTGTATAGTCTATGTATGTACCTATATGTGTATATATTTGAAACTATTAACCATTATAGTCGTAAATGAGCCATATTTATTTTGTTTGTTACATCAAATCCGATGATATACACTTGGCCTCCTATTGTGCTCTTGTTTACCAATGTCTCTGGTGGGAATCAAACAGACAACCTCCGGTCTAACAGACTAGGACTATCACTACTAACATTCGGGAGGCACACAAGTGAGCAATATAAGTTTTGCCAAAAAATTGGCTTAATTTTTAGCCTGTTTACAATTAGAACTACATTGTGGTTACTACGTACAAACAAAAAAATCATCTAGTGAATGACATCGGATTTTCATGTAGCCGTAAAAAGATGTTCTCTGGGGTCTCTCTGGGGCTACTCTCAACTGTCAATGTATTCTTTCGTAAACGCAATGCTACGGATCAACCTAATAAAAAAGAATTTATGTATTTATATTTAAAAGTAAATACATACATACATGTATGTACATATGCATGTATGTATTTACGTGACTATTGTTAAATTCAATTATAAAAATATGAAAATGTACAAATCTTCTACAGAATAAAACAAGTCGAAAAAATCTTAAAGCAATAAATAAAGCAAATTGTATAAAACAAGTCAAATATGAAACATCAGATTGCATTTACGTAACATTACATTTTCTTTTTAATAACGGGTTTGAGCTTTAACAAATTCATGAATATTATTCCGAATAATATCGAGAAATTACCATTATTTCACTTTAAAAATTTCAATTTTGATGAGTTATATTTATTTTGAAATTGTAATAACACTTCATTATAAAACAATTTAAGTCCAAAATATTTTATATACAAGTTTTTTGCCAATACTAAGGCAAACAAAATCTACTGGAAATAGGAAAACTGGGGAATTTTGAACCAACCATTTCTTTAGTTCACATTTATCATACATTAATTTCATTAAATAATAAAGTTTCTTGACTAAAGTATACCAGTTTTAAATATTTTCTAATTTGTTTGAATTTGTAAATGTTATACCTATTATATATATATGTATATATTCAAAGATCGTACCTGAAATCGTGGTTGAAAATGACACTTAAAAAGTAAGTCGTAGCGTTATATTTATTACGTTTCGTTTATTATTAATAACTTTTCAACACCAAAATTTTTGTGTATTACAGTTTTCAAATATATTATAAATATGTTCTTAGCACTTTTTATTTTCTGTAGATTTCAAATATATTTCAAACAGTTGGGGAGGGCACTAATTTCAACTGTGCAATATATATGTATATCAATCTATATATATTATTATTTATATTTATTTTTTGTGTAAAATGATCACAACTCTTACTATTTTGGACTGCGCCGGCAAGCGAAAAGTTTGTGGAGCACGTCTGCGAACACACTGTGGTACAAGCACAAACAATCTAATTTTTACTGGTGTCTATTATTGGCTCAACAATCTGCTTCCGTACGAAAATGTATATGCTTAATAATAAATATATATATTTTCTGTGGTGCGTCCGTCGTATAAGAAATGTATGATATATGTATATATTAAAAATATACAAAATACACTAAATATCAATCATAAACGCACGATTTATGAACGTGACGAGTTATGGCACAGTTGGCCTAACTGACTACCATCAAATTTTGAATATTTCTTATTTATACACATTAGACCGACTCCAGGGAAAACCTGATGTTGTCACCCCTTTCATAAGATATCTTTTTTTGTTTTAAATATTTTCCAAACTTTTTTGGTTCTAGCGATGAACGTAAGTTAACCGGACACTTAAAAACACTGCTATTTTGTATTGGAAAGGCTTCTTGATACCGAATCCAATAATATATAACACATAAATATATGAAATAGATATGCCAGACTATTCGAGATAAAAACAAAAAAATTTGTACCTAAGTCTTAAATTATATCATTTTTATATTCGAATACTAGACACTGAATTGGAAACTTTGAAGTATGTACGAAAGTTCTAACAATAATCATAAAATCCCGATTCATAAAGCTATAATTTATCATTTTAAATCCTGTGCACACTATATTTATTTATATAAAAAAATATTTTAAGAGGCGAAAATTAAAAATAGTTATTAATAAATATTGGTTAGATGAGTTCAAGTGGAGCTGGATCGGACGAACGCCAATAGATATAGGTAGACAACGGGATGAAAGGTTTGTCAAGGACAACAATATCCAACACAATGCAAATACTACTATGAAGTGGCAAAGAAAATTTTGATTTATATTATATTCTAACAAATATTCGGTCTAATGTTAAACCTAAGATATTCCCCACTTACATATTTGATTTGTTTAAAAATCAAGATTGTGGAAAGTATATCGATTTTTTTAGTTCCTGTGGAAGACATCAAACTTAGTATTTTGTGGTGGTGGAAAATTCACTAGTTGTAGTCGAACTAGTTCATTGTACTGCAGGGTACATACATACATACATACATACATACAAACATACATACATACATACATACATACATACATACATACATAAATACATACATACATACATACATACATACATACATACATACATACATACATACATACATACATACATACATACATACATACATACATACATACATACATACATACATACATACATACATACATACATACATACATACATACATACATACATACATACATACATACATACATACATACATACATACATACATACATACATACATACATACATACATACATACATACATACATACATACATACATACATACATACATACATACATACATACATATGTATATTTCTTTCAAAAAATTTAAAACTTACAACATTTTCGTTTTCTTTGATTTGTTTACATATTCATTAATCAACCATATGTTGTGAACATATGTTTGATATTTTTTACTGGGGAAAAAATATTCAGTTAAATTTAAAAATTCTCCATCAACGAACTGTCATTTCTATCGCTCTCTTACTCTCTCTTTGCAAGTTTTCAAAAGTACGCGAACGGAATCCAGTAACAATTGTTACAAATTATTACAAATTATCGAGTACGCGAACAGACCTAATTTTTGTATTTTCTGCGCCATTAAATGCAAAGGTATACTTTCAGCATTACATTTCGTCAGAAATGTGCCATGTGGTTATTTTAAGCACTACATTGTGGTTATCTAAGAGACATTTTTAAACCATTTAATTTATTTAGAATTTATTTTCTACTACTGATTAGAATGGTGAAATGTAGTGACCGTTTAGACAAAATATCGACCACTTTATTTACCACAGGTAACTAGTTAGTTGGAAATGCGGTAATATAACTAGTGAAAGGTGCAAATTAGCACTTTTCGTATTGTAGGGTACATATGTACGTACATACAGAAAATTTTTCAACATTCAACAATAACAAATCCAAAACACATTCAGCACTTTGTATAAAGTAAAATACCGCAGCGAAGAAGTACAGCAAAAGCACAAAGAAAAATATAAGTGCTGAATGTTGCAAGCAGTAATGATTGTTTGAAATTAATCGCTGTGACTGACTACGTTAGCAGAAAACATTTCCCTGTACCACTGCAGCTAATGAGTTTGTTTTCGTTTTTTTGGCTTTACTTTCTGCTTTGGATACAATTGCTGAAAAACTTTAAGCAAATCTGATATGTTGTGCTTTTGCTAATTTTAAGCAAGCAATACAAACCTTGGTCAAAAGTCCGATAAATATATCGCAATATTCGAAATATAACAGAACGAAGTCATCTTTTTTTAAATTGTTAGTCATATGGAAGTAATAAATACTGACTTAAAAATTTAGTTTTTACCTCTGTTAAATCTTGTTCCTTATTATGACAAATTGTGATTTAAAATTTAGCCGTGAAATATATGTGAAAGGTCGTGAGTAAGCTATTTTTTGAATTCATAGTTTTTTACGAAATTAAGGTTACGATACCTCATAAAAGGAATAAGATGTGTACATATGTATATCAGAGGTCTGATTTTTCTAATTTATTGGGGCATTTCAAGTGACCTAACATTTGAGTTTCATCCCGATCGGATGTTCAATGTTTGTTAATTTTTCAACAAGATCGGCCGAGAACCCTTAGAGTTACAGTGGGTCAAAGTTTGACATTTTTGCCGTACATGTGTCCTCTCGTCTATGTAACTTATTACCTATTCCCAGAAGAAATCTGGCAATGACTTACATATAAGGAGTCTAATAATGACTTTCTTTTAATTAAATATAGACGTACTTTATATTTGCTTATGTGAAGCAGTGGCGCAAGAAGTAGAACAATTTACTGATATACACGAAGTCTCTGGTTCGTATACGCAGAGAAAAATTATGGTTGTGGTTAGAATTATGGTTAAAGTTAAAACATATTATGATATATCAAAAAATATCAAGATAATTAAACTTTTTTTTAATTATTAATTTTTTTAACCATATTTTATGTATTTTTTTTATTTCTTTTAAATGTTATAATGTTGTCTACGATTATATTTTTAGATATTATTTTTTTTCACAATTATTTTAACACTTCGTTCGTTCAACACTTTATTTAATCCGATCTATTACAGATAAAACATACAACTGATATAAAAATGGCGATACCAAAATATTTTTAATAATAAACGTATTTTGCTTATATCTCATACCATTTAATGGTTGCTTGAAAGTTTAAATGGTTCTAAATTATATAATATGTTTACATAGTTATCATTATTTATTTGTTGTAAAAATAATTATTTTTCAGAGAATCATTCTCAAGTTTATAATTGTCATAAATATATAAATGTTTACAGTAACTAAAATATTGATGAAATTCAATAAAAATAACAATTGTTTGGTTATGACAACAAAATATTGTTGGAAAAAACATAGAATAGTTGTCCTAACCATGCCGAACCATGTTTTTTCTACGTGTATTCGCGCTGGCTTTTTATAATTTAAAAAAACAAAACTTTTTTCCTCTTGGAAAAAAGGGCTCTTTTTATTTATTTTTTTGTCATCTTGGATCTTTTCCTTGAATAGATTTTTAGTCGCTTATTGAGATGTGAGTGGGATATCTATCAAAATCTATGTTTTGTAATTTAAGACAGATTTTTTCAGTTTTTTGCATATGCCCTGTTTTTTTAACGGTGATGCCATTGGAGGAGTACTTACCACACTCGCTTACAAATAGGGAGTAAGTACTTACTACTATCGTGTGCAAAGAAGGAGTTAAGTAATTTTGATTTTAAGTAAGTGTCTACTATTAGTTTTCACAAAAACAATTTTCTTGTAAAAACAAAATTTTAAAACAATATGTCAAGTAAGTAAAGAGTAAGTACTTACATATTATATTATTTGTAAGTCTTTACTAGACTAGGTGTTATTACACGACATGCATTTTACATATGTACTGTAAAATTTTCCATCTGTAAAAGTTGTACACATCGTCTGATACATAAAAAACATTGCATGTGTAAAATACATGTGGAAATACTTATGTACATTAGAGGGATCCAAAAAATATAGATTTTGCTCAGATGGGTCCTATGTTGTTCATTAGTATCTAAAACTAACTGGTGTAATATTTTTTTATATCACTTCTGCATGCAAAACGAAGACCAAACAATGCAAAAAAATGCATAATTTTTTGAATAAATGGCTTGGGAAATTGTCAATAACTTAATGTTTTATACCTCGTTGGATAGGTAAATTTCTCTAGATGATAAGATTTGGACGAAATGTTAAGAAAAGTTAATTTTAATGGCACAATTTTTGAACAATCGCTTCAATCAATCGATTTCCGGCACCAGTAAGTTTTATGCAAAATGAGGCCCATTTGAACAAAATCTATATTTTTTGGACACCTCTAATGTTTACTTTTTCGATTAGAGCGTGCTCTATTTTGTTCTGACAAACATAAACAAAACAGCTATTTTGTGTTGAAATAAAATTGTTAAAAAAAAATAAATTAAAGAAAATTAATAAAGAACATGAACAAGTAAGTATTTTTCGATTTTTAATAAACTAATTTATAATTTTTAACCTTTACACATTAAAAAGTCAGCTGTTCTTTACATGAATGGGTTATGTCTTACGGAAAAAATAGGCAGATGTGATAGAAAGAATTTCGAATTACATATGGATGAAGAAAGTAACAGTAAACAAGTAAGAGTGTTATATTCGCCTATGCTGAATCTTATATACCCACTATCAAATCACTGCCATATACATAAATAAATTTAGATATTTTGATTATTTTATTATTATATATCGATATTAATGAGAACATCAGGGTAATATTTGAAATATGTCTATTAATGGGGGTTTAACTATTGACAGTGCTCTTTCGAATTAAATATATTCATTTATATAGGGAGTATGGTTATTTATACATATATGTACCAATTCTCATAAAAGTCGGTAGGAAGATTTCAATTCCTTATTTA